ATTCACTAAATACTCAGCACTTCAGCACTCTATGACAGAACACATTGAAGGAGGATGCAAGGGAAATTAGGTTTGCAAGAAAATTCAGAATCAATTGTGTAGAGATCTGTAACAGTAAGATTGATATGTGTTATGAATAAAAATGTCTGCATATAAGACTGGAAGGAGAAGCACAAGGGTTAAAAGAAATGATGCTGTTCCCAGAAAAACACTCATGTTCCTCAGGTTTTTATGTCAGGACCTGAAGGCAGCTCTGTGACAAAGCCAACTATAGAAGACTCTTCCCTGTGATAAAACCTCACCACAGACAACTTGTCAGAGGAAACCCAGCACCCAACAACAGGAGGGTGTCAACAGGGTGCCAGCACAGCACACACACACATTCTGAGTAAGGAGACACTATCAACAGGCAGTAACCTGGCTCAAGATTATAGAATAAAGTCAGAAGGATTGCAAAGCAAAGGCTGCTCCCCATATAAGCTGATGATTCCTAGAGAACATAAAAGACCTGCCCAAAAACTGATTTTTCTCTGGGCAAGCACAGAATATCAGACTTAATGAAGACTTGACAACAAGTAAAATATATATATATAGGCAAAAATGGTACCCTTCAAACTCTACTGCACAGACAAGCCTGGCCAGACCACCTGAGCACACCCCTCTTGCTGTGACTGAATGAAATCTGACAGAATTAGTGCAATTGCCTAAAAGCAACTTATTTAGGGATTTTGTAAATAAATGCCATCTCCTTCCATAAAATCCTTCATTGAGCTCTCTTGCATTGACTTCCCTACAGCTGCAAGGCCAAACTAGAAATCTGTAAGGCAAACTCTTCCCTGACCAAGTTCAAATTCCACCAATATCAAAGTTAGTGAGGACACAGGTAGCTGAAACTCCACAGAAGTGTCTGCATGAGCAGAGGCTTATTTGTACTGGCCTTTCTTTTAAATACCTCTCAAAAGAGAAAAGTCTGGACATTTAGGTGCATCAAAGAGTCTGCTGTAGTGATTACCTTTTAGTGCATCGGCCTGGAAAATCCTCTGGTACAGGTTCTAAAAAAAACCCAAAACATGAAAGCTAAACTTTAAATGAAAAGGCTATGCCAGCTTAGACCAGACAATTTTTTAGTGCAAACTAACTTATAAAGCACAATATTAGAAGCAAAGACAAACCACTAGCAGGGAGCTGCTCTCCATTATACTAACAGACCTTACATAAAATGATCATTACATATTTTATACAGGTTCCTCAACCAGAGTGAAATTTGTTTATGTTTATATCCTGAGGTATTGTAGAAAAGAATTACCTAATATTGCTGAAAGATTTGACATCTGTGGTATCTTATCAATGGTCACTGCTTTGCTGGAGTCCAGGAGAGTAGAGTTCTTGTACTTGCCAAGGTCCACAGAGTAAAAATTGCATCTTTCTGGACATAAAAAATATAAGTGCAGATTTCTTATGCTGACATTCATTGAGTTATTAAATTTGTGACCAAACTGAAAGCAATCACAACTGCAGGACAGGAATTAAAAAGCAAAATTAAAGCACTGTCTTGGCTCAAACAACTGCAGAAAAGTTTGGAAGGAATTTGACTGAACTCACATTTGTGGGTCATTCCCAATAAACAGCTTGTGTCAACAGTGAATACTTTAGATTTAAAGTAGGATTCAAATTACATAAGGACCTGATTCACACCAGATTAGAGGACAAATACACTGATTCCATGTTAAGCACAGGTTTATAGCAAAGATGTGACCTGGTGAGTCACACCACAGGAGGCCCCTAGTCTTTCTGTTGAAGACAGTCTCCTCACATTTTCTACATCAAATAAAACTGAAAAAAGTCACCCAGAAGTCTCACCCAAATCATCATCTCTGAATGTTTCAGGGGATGAGTAAGTTTGCAGGCTGTCGCTAGCAGCGCTATAATCTGCAGCTGAATCTTCATCTAAACACTCTATGAGAAAGGTGGAAACACCTGTGGGAAGAGTAATTTCTGTACCTAGAGAAAGAGACAAAAAATGTGGCTAAAAAAAATCTATCTTGTACAAACCATCAGGATTTCCTTATCTGAGTTTCATTCCTGTAATGCGCTAAATATTATCACTCACCATATAACAAGTCATAATACAGTTAAAGGGTATCCTTTGTTTATTTCCACACACACCATAAGCCAAGAGAAGATACCTTCTTTGCCCAAGGCTCACAAGACATACCTGAACAATATAGCCTCTAGTAAGGCAAAACTTAAGTACATCACAAGCTTTTAGAAATACAGGTTTGAGTAAACTGCAGAACTCATGTCCACAGCTAGTTGTGTCAATGATAAAACCAAGCTCATGTGGTTTCCAGCAGGCTGAGCTCAAGACTGTCTCAGGTGCTGTGGGTCTGTCTGTGCTGCCAGAACCAATTCATGTGAGTCCAGCCACAGGCTGCAGTAAGAGGCAGAAGTCCAGCCAGTGGTATCAAAACCTTCACTTTCTAATATCACACAGTCAGAACCAGTACAACAACAGCACAGTACAAGACCAGTACTTTTATAAAAATAAAATTATATCAGGAATTTTACATTTAGTTTATTATCAATATCAAATATATTTAATAATATAATGTATAGCCATTATACTCACTTGAAGTCACTTCAGCATTTTTCAAACTTCCTTTATTTTCAAAGTTGATTAGTTTGGAATCCTGAAATAAAAGACCAATACAAACAACCTGAGAAAACTGAATGTAGACAAAGAAAGGCATTTAAATATCATCCTACATTAGCAGATGCTGAGAAAACTCACTGTCTGGCACTTCACCACTTAAGCCTACTATTCACAGTGTAATTTGCAGCAGGATTTTTCATGTACATCAACAAATCTGCAAACTTTGAGCTCTAAAATTCAAGACAAATATCCCACCGCTTGATCCTGCAATCTTTGCTGGATGAGACTGCCATTGAAGGCATACTGACATGAACTGAACTTAGGCACAACAGACGTGGAGTAATGAACTGCACTGTCTTTTATTTTTTTTCACACCTCACTTTTAGAATCCTACACCATTTCTGTAAATACAAACATCTATGATGTGTAGGCAGTAGATTATGAAAACCAGGCATTTTGTAGAAAATGCAAATAATTGGTAGACTCTAAAGAAGAGCTAACATTTTAAAGAAAAATAGTTTTATACCAGTATCACCTGTGCCCTTTGCTGCAGCAGATTTCACTTCAAATACACCTGGTTCACTACTCTCTTGCCACTTCAGTATTAACTATCCTGTAACACTTCTGCACCATCACTGCCAATCACTTTATTCCAGTTTTAATAACACAAGAAAGAACATCAGTGATGTGTCAAAGGTCTGTGCCTGACCTAGAAGTGAGCAATTCTCTGGAATCACAATCTACTGAGATCTCTTCAATTCCTACAGCCTTGCCTCATCCATGATAATTAGTACTGATGTTTTCTTACGCTACCAGTAGCTCCAATAGCTTTTATTCTGGCCAAAGACACAGAAAATGTAATCCAAAATACAGGACCAAGTTCAGCCTGAAAAATGTCAGGGCTCACACAGACATAACTCATAGGAAATTTTACCCAAATAGAAGAAGAATTTAATGTGTCACATTTCTCTGATTTATCCTCCATCACTAGGAGATAAAAAGCAAGACAGCATTCTCACCTTCAGTGGTACACTGCTTTCTTCTGGTTCCTCTTCCTTTATCTTGAAGTCTATTGTTTCGCTGCCAGTCACTTGATTGCTGCAGTTCAAGAACAGAACCAAGTTCAATCACAGAGCTACACTGCTTTAGACAAAAGCAACAGCTCCAAAATGTCCTTATGGGGTGTCAATAAATAATTTGACAAACATCAGTGCACTTAAAATTCAGACTGCATTGCTCCAATTGCCATCTCACAAGAAAAAACAATATCATTTACTAGCAAGTCTTAACAATGGTGTGTTTAAATGAGTTCTAGCTGACCTTTGGTTGCATGAAGAGCTCTCTTCAGTATATTCAACATTTTCTTTAATCTTTGGTAAGTTTTTCCCACTGAACTTTTTCTTCAGGCCTAGAGAATAAATATTTCGTTCAGTAATGATAATTCCAACTTAGAATTTAGATTATTGTTTCTAATTTGACTGTTCCCACCTTCTACACTCAGAACACTTTCTGACCCTATTATCACAAACAATGTAAAATCTGAATTTGCTTTTTTCAGCAGTATATCAAGATAAAACGAAAAGCAGACTTAAAGAAATACTTTTCATGTTTTAGAAACCTGTTGATTAAAAGGAAGAAACCCCACCACCTTGGAAGCAACCTTTACCTTGATTCAAAGTAGTTTGAGTACATATCAGTTTTAAATGGTGTTTATTAGGAGTATCAAGGATTTCTACATAAACTGGTCCTCACTGTATATAATCCCAAATGGCATTAACAACACAATTAATCAGTAACCAGCAAATTTCAGAGACACATTTTCTTATCCTAAAATTAATTTTATGAGTCATTTAGCATTGTGTTTTGCTTTCATTATCTAAGAGCTAGAAACAGTCAAACTTTCTCAAGTTACACTTTTATGACTGCAAAGGAGCATCCATCCCCACACTAAAACCTGGGTCTGAGTCACTGCATTTCCCCAGGGCCACACAGAGGCTTCGGCTGAAGCCTCCTGGGAATTCAGGACAGGATGATATATGGACAGGAGTCATCCTTTTCCTTTTTTTTTTTTTCCAAGCACACGGAAGACCTCCAGGCAGCTGGTTGCACCCAGTCCTGTGCACTGGAGCACTAAATACATACAAGACCAGGAGCCAGCAGAGCAGGAACAAGGCAATAACAAATGTTTGCTGTACCCTCTCACAGCAAAGCTTTACTTTCAAATTACCAAGATCAGCCCAAGATCAAGACATCCCACGCTGGTGGTTCCCCATAGTCTGTCAGGCTTCATTTGATTCCCATCTCTTCCCTTGAACTAAATTTTTTTCCTAACGTCTCAAATGCCTAGCTTGGTATCAGCTGCACTGCGTTCAACAACGAGGCAGCTGCTTTTGAGTAACGACTTCAAGCAATTCTTAAAATATTCTCTCAAAGGTAAGCAAGGCTTTTGTCTTGCCATTTCTCGATGCTCCCTTCCAACTCGATTAAATGGAGGGGACGCACTTCACAGAAAAAGGAAAAATCCTTCCTATTGCTAACGAGCAGCTAAAATAGAATTAACCCTCCTGTTTCCAGAAGAGCAGTCTGCTTTCTCCAAGCGGTGAGGGACGTGGAGAACAAGAAATCACCTCCCAGCCTTACACAGAACCTGCTGCGCTGGGCACCCATGTGAGAACAAACCTTTGGGGACCACCGAGGACACTGCTGGTAAAAATCTTGGCCTCATTACCCTGCCCAGCATCTTTACCCATCAGAACACGCCGCAGAAAGCACAGCACAGCACAGGGTCCTCTTTCCCCCACCTTTTCCCGCCGGTACGGGCTCCGCCTCCTGCACCCCAAGCCCCGCCGCAGCTCGGGAGAGGCGCTTACAGGCGGGCTCGGGCCCGCGAGGCCCCGCGCTCCCGAACAGGCGCCGCCGGCACATCTGGGAGCCGCCGGCCCGACTGCTCGGAAGAGCGGCCGCCCCCGGTAGAGGGGACGAGCGGCGCTTCTTGCGCGGAGCCTTCGCGGCGCAGGGAGCGCGGAGCCGGCGCTCCCGCTCCATGGCAACCGGGCCGCCGCAGCCTCCGCCGCCCGCGGCCCCTCCGCCGGCGCCGCCCCCACGGCCCCAGCCCGCATGCGCCGGACGGCCGCGCGCGCCCCGTGTGAGGGAGCGGCCCTCATGAGGGATCGCCCCGTGTGAGGCACCGGCCCTGATGGGGCGATCGCCCCGCGTCAGGGACCGGGCCTCATGAGGGAGCGGCTGTGGGCAGGGACACGGGACACCGAGCACGGGACACCTTCAGCGGGTCCGGCGGCTCCGGCATCGCCGCCCTCACAAGGAAAAAACTCCCGTGTGAAAATGGGAGTCAATAAATTGTGTGTGTGATAACCCCTGTACTGCTCCGACCCCGTGTTTCAGCTTCAGGCTGTAGACAGGAGGAATCTCGTTGCTTCGTTACCTTAAAAAAATAGAGCGTATAGAACCAGAATAATTTGGGTTAAAGGGACCCCAGATATAATCCTGTTCCCCCCCTTTCTGCCACACCCGGTTGTCCCAAGCCCCATCCAACCTGGTTCTGGGTGCTTCAGGCCTTTCTGGATTTCCAAGTGAAGGGAGATACAAGTGCACACAAAAACCGGAATAGAGCCCGTATGCTTTGAAACTTTATTGGTTTAGACACAATCTGAAAAAATACTATGCATTCCCAATTGCAATTCATATTAAACAAGCATATACATGTGATTATATTATTATTGATTTCAAATTAAAATCGAAACCATTACAGAAAGACTGCTGCATCTTCAGAGAACTTTGCAACAATTAGTTTTCATAGGAGATTGCTAAAATCAATCTCATGTCCCAATATGCTTTTGGTCGTTATTTTATTTTACATAATTTCTTATTTTTACAACACGTTTAGTTTAGCCGCACATTCTGAATGACTTCATACCAATGATGAGGACAAAGTGCTGGAGGAACAACAGATTTTATAAAAGAGCTTTTATTGTATGTCAGTCCACAGAAAATCTTATGAGCAGTTTTGAGAAAGGTGAAAATTTAGTTCTTTACAAAAGTTTCCATAGATGACTATTTGATATACATGCTAATATACCAAAACTGAAAAATTTTTAATAACAGTTAGGATTTTTTTTTACACAAATGTATATGTTAAATTTTACCCCCCTTCACTTTCAGTTGAAAATACAATAGGCAACACTTACCAAAATGTCTCATTTGTTGGCTGCTTTTACTTTGCTAAAATACATAACAAAAAGCTGAAATGAAGGGCTTAAAGGGACTCCAGATGCCTCAGAAAACATTTTTCTTTGGAAGAATTCAAGGGATCTAAAACTTTTTCATTTCTGGGCTACAGGCATCCAGATTTCTCTGAAAAGCTTCATTGTTTCACAGGTGCTAAGGTGGTATAGAAACCATCAAATGTGTAAAATATTGAAGAACATCAGTTCCAAGAAGAAACAATGATTAATTCTGGTTTCCCCCCCCAGAGAATACCAAAGTAAACTAAAGATACAAAAGGCAAGCCAATACAATTGTCTCTAAATAAAATAAAATGCTTCTTCAATTTTTTTCTAAGGCATCAAGAGGTCTTTAAGTCACCTATTACCATGCAAAAATAGTATATTCTTTCCCATTTTACATTCATCTTGTAGCATTTATTTACATATAGATCAGCAGTTTGTGCTTTTAACACATGTAAAACTAAAAAAAAAAAAAAAAAAAAAAAAAAAAAACCACAAAAATAAAACTAAATTAATTTTTTTCATTCCAGAGGTTAAGGTCGGATTATTTTGTTACACATGAAAATTTCATATTCACGGCAACAATGAGACTGGACTTTACTGTTGCTGATAGATCCTGACTAACAGATTGCAAACTGGTATTTTATCAATAAAAACTCACTGTCTCTGTATCACCTGATGTGCATCAAGCATTTTAACTTGCAAATGTGCCTTTCAGGACAGAATTATTCCATGTATTTCCTGCCCACGTGGGGTAAAGACTCTGGTCTGGTTTCTGCTCACACTTTGTGCATTTTGGCAGAACAGATTTTTTCTCTGTGCAATATATCAAGCAAAGAACATACAAAATATATAACTAAGCAAGAGCCTCTTCCTGAAAAATGTATTTTATTGTGGTTTTTTTATATATAAGACATTCTTCCAGTGATTCCACAGGCATAGCACCAGGCCCAGGAAGAAACAAAAATGCAGTACTGCAACTTTAAAACTGACTGCAAAAAGAGTTGCCACCTTTTAAGATGAATAACAGAAACTAATTTTGTAATTAGTTATCTTAAGGTAAAAAAAAAAAAAAAAAACCAAAAACAAACCCAAAACCAAACTGGTTATTGGACAGTCATGGGGATTTTTCCTTGGTGGTCACAAGAAGTGTTTCAGTTTAAGAAAGCTCAGTATAAAATAAATATGCCTGGAATTTGAAGAGAAGCAGGACTGAGCCTAGCTCATGCCTTATGCATGTCTCTTTTTCAGGTGTTAATCTCTTACATCATTATGATTGTGGTGAGAGAGTGACCTGCAGAGGAAAATCGGATTATACAGGTATAAAAGAGAGCTTTTAGTTCATTTATACAATTTTTCACAAGTTCTGAAAGCATTCACACTTTTGGTGTGACAAAAACCAACTCAGATTTTACATCATCCAAGTGTGGCCAAGTCTGCATTTTTTCTTTCTTATTCTTTTGGTGTTCATATATTTGGCTCTAATGCATCTGACATTTTGCATCAAATACCAAAAGAAGAATATGGATATATAATTCAGGGTCATATATATAAAAATAACAGCCATATAAGCTGTAAATAAACTCATATTAGAATCTTCTGTACTTATACAGAGTTTAGTTGTCTCAAAAAGCCTGAAATCACCTCAAGAAAAAAGTAAATCAAATTCAAATGGCAAAAAAAAAAAAAAATCAGTGAAAAATAGCTTTTCTCTACTTTCTTAGATGACTAGGTTTTGGGGGTTTTTATTTTAAAACTGTTGCATTAAAACAGACAGGAAATTGTACTGAATTTAATTCTCCATTGCTTTGAAGGTTGTGTATGTAATGACTGTCTTTTGGCTGATACAAAAAGGATATGAACTAAACTTCACTGAGATAAAAATCCTTTATGACTTGACCCAAAGAGCCAGATTTTATGCAATAATCCCTATCCTCCATTGACGTAGCAAATTCCCCAGGGATGCTATTGCTGCATACATCAGTGAAAAATTATGATACCATCAGATCTCAGATATTTCTTTACTTGCTTTGGACTGATATGAGTCACTGCACTGAAATCAAATGAGGAATCAGATGCATAAAGGGATCAGACAAACACACATTTGATAAATCAAACTGCCACGTTCTTTGAGTCATTATGTTACTGATACGGTTTCCTCTGTATCATTTTATTCTGAAATCACTGCAATAAATCAGTCTTCGTAAAACACTAACTTATTAATTCAATTTATTTCATTTGGAAGCATGCAACAGAAGTTCAGAGAGAAAATAAGATACTGTTTAGATTAAAAATTTAAACTTTTAGCTTCAGAAGTCTACAGTGGATTCCACTATAAGAGAGAAAATAAGTGTGCTTCCACTGTCCTAGCAAAGATCTAGCAGGCACAGCTCCATGCTAGCATGTACTGGTGCAACAAACATCAGCTAGTAAAAGACACAGATATTTAGGACCCTGTTTAGCAGAAAGAAGCTATCAACAGTCCATGTATTCAAGCAACTTGACATGACAGTTTTCTCTTTGCCTTGTACCGTGCTTTGTACCAAGAGAGAGCTCTAGAGTCTGTTCCTACTCCTTGTGAGACTTATCCCCTTTCTGATGACCACAGAAATGTAAGGTTTTATCCAGACAACTTGCTGGTTATCCCAGAGAGGCCATTGGAGGTGATGCCAATGGGATTTGATGCTTCCAGATGTCTGACCATAAAGACATTCCCGTAACAGGCCCTTCTGCCACCACATCCACTGTTCTGCCTTGCACAGCAATGGCCAACACAGCCTTTAGCCCATCCCCATGAGTCTTTTGGGGCAGTATTGCTTCCCCTTCCATGGCCAGATAAAGGATAGGATGCCCTCCACTGCTGCATCTCAGGCTGGCCTTTTCCCAAACCTTTTCATTTTGCTAAGCCCCGTCCAGAATCACAGCTTATTCCTTGTGCTCCGTTTCTTTAGCGCTGTTTCTGAAGGGAGTTAGTCCAGCTGGACTATGCAGTATTAGCAGCATGTGAAGTAATCAATTAGGGATTGGGAGCATATGGATTATGGTGAACTCCCACCTAAAGCCACCACAGAGCCAGTGATGCTTTTGCAACCTTCTCCGTTTGAGCAGTTCAGATGTCCTTGAGTGCACTGGACTGAAGGAGCCCTAATGCAGAATCTGCAAACCATGGATAAACTGTGTTTGGATGAAAAGGAAATAGAGGGAATTCTGTGCTATTGCTTCCTACCCTGTTCTTGTCATTTCCAGGTAACATGAATCCGTTAGATGTAATATACTATTAGGTCTATTAAGTACAAATAGTGGGAAATTCCTTCCTATTTCTGTTCTGATTGTTAAATCATCAATGATTAAATCAAATCAATGTCATTTATGTCCTGAAAAATATAAAAGCTATCACTTACTATATAAACCAATATCCAGCTTGAAGTTCCAAATCAGAGAAAATAGACTTTTACTTTCACCATCAGTCACTGATTATTTGAGGTAGACCACATTATTGAATTACTTATAATTTTAGTTTCTAATATATTAGGTTGTATACAATCAAATATCAACAGACATACCTGAATTTTTCCCTATTTTAACTAGAAATGTTTGTAGTTACTTAAAAGATATGCTTCCATCATTTACTTGGTCATAGATTGAAATTTCTGCATATTTTGTGTCAATTTAGCATAACTTTTAATAGTGCCTTACTGTATACCTAGAGTAAAAAAGAAATTGTATCACACCTGATGGCAAAAAGAAGGGAAAATATGGTTAGTGATGAAATCCTAGAAAAATGAAAGGCTCAAATGTAAGATTCAGATGCTTATCCATTTCAGCAGTGTTGTTCTGGCTCTGTAGTTTTCGAGTATTATTCTAATATTGCTATGAAGTCCATTACTCAGAAGATTCTTCCTGTGATTTCAGATGGAGATGCTTGAATATAGCTCTTCTATTTGTTTTTTGAAGTAATCTCTCAGTTCTGGTCTTTTAGCCTTTAATGTTGGTGTCAACAAACCGTTTTGCACCGAGAACATATCAGAGTGAATATAAATGGCTTTGACCTAAAATAAAAGAGGAATATATTTATAGCAAAGGTTACAGGCATCACACTGAATAAACATTAATTTTTTTCCTGTGCTTCCCTCTGGTGGTGCCTCAAGTCCAGGGCACTCTTCTGCTGAGTCCCCAGGATTTCCATCCCCTGCCCACAGAAGGGAGCTCTCCAAGAGAATGAGCACATAAATTGCTTTTGTGTATGAAAGCAAGGCCAGAGCACAGCGAGGCAGCACACAAGGGCCAGTGTGAGATCATCACTGCAGTTTCACACAGCTGAAAGGCAGTGGGGAAGAGCGCAAGGGCAGGGAGTTGGGCTAGGAAACCTCAACTTAACCCCACTGCAAAAGTAAACAGGACTAATTCAATAATGCAAAATTATCATGAAGCTTTTCAGGCACAAAGCGTGTACATGATGATCATCTTTAGCTGGTTAAAGTGATACAGATCTTTCAGCCAGTGCAAATGGCATTTCACAAGGCTGCCCTTGTTCAGGCAGTGGCTCTGAGCACAGTGGGGAGCCTGGCAGCACAGATGGGAGCGAGCTTTTCCTCCCCGTGCTGGTGTGGGGGAAAGCAGAAAACTGCTGCGTGACTGGTCAGAGCCCACCAATTTAAGGCAAAATTCCCCAGCCATCTGCTGCTTTTGTGATTCCCCAGGCCAGACTGCTTTGCAGTTTGTTTGGCTGGGAGCTGCAGCAATATAGGCTGCAAATCCATTTTCCATTCCTTAGATATGTGATTCATCTTTCCCTGCAAGCATCGTGGTCCAGGCCCTGCCCCCACGCAATCCTTCATAAATCAGTGTTCACACTATTAATGCTCTCCTGTCTGCTGCACTAGCTTTCTGATCCTGGAGGCTGATGGTTATAGAAGTCAACCTGTCATTCCCAAGACAGAAATCCAAGCTGCAGATGAGGATGGGGATGATAAAGAGTATCCCCATAAACAGGGGATCCCATTCCATATGAATATTACCCACAGTATTTGGCTCAAAATTTGGTTTTAAGATTACATATTGCAACAAAGATGAAGTTTTGAAACACTTCAATTTTGAAAATGGTATCATTTTTTATTCTATTCTCTTATTATTTTATTCCAATATTTAGAAAGATGACAAGTCTTTCCTCACTACTTTATACTTTATTAATTGTAAACTGCTGGTGGAATCAATTACTTGAGGATATTTCATACTCTGAAGACCATGACAGAAGCAAACAAGACTTACTGGCACAGACAATTATGTGCATTAAAAACTATGCTTTTTACTGAATTATTTTTAAATAAATTTCTTTTCGCTGCCATTTCATTTGCATAGGTAATTGAGAAATTAAGAATAATAGGGTTATGTTTAATGATGCTTCTACTCCACTCCAATATGGTGAATTACTCATTAGAATTATCACCCAGAAACAGTCTGAACAAAAGCAAAAAAGCCCTTGCTAATTATATGTAATGATTAAGATGTTTGGTTTACTCAACAGAAATAAGCATTTGACATTTTAAAGTGGGGTGGATAATTTTTCTGTGTTTTTAATGCTATGCAGACCACAGTTGATTTCAGATCTCCCCTTCTGAAGTGTTTGTAGCTCTATTGCAGAAATATTTACACAAGCAGGAAAGAACTAGTGCCCAGACTAAAGATAAAGAAACCAGCAGCATTTCAAGGTCAGGTATAAGAGTAGTAATTAGTGACCCAATTTCTAACAGAGCTTTCAGTGGCAGAAAAGTCAGACTCCTACAGATGTTTATCTTGACCTCTGGTTTTCTGGAGATTATCTATGTCCCTGATTAAGATTTTGACCTCTGCACCCAAAACTTTCACTAAATTTAATTCAAATTTTAAACATAGGTGGGAAGCAGAATCACAGCAAATACATTTTTCTAAAGGAATAAATACAGCTTGCCAGCAATAAAGCTCTTTCCAAAAACATCATGTGCAGCTGCAACAAAGATTTGTAGTAACATGATAGATGCTGACAAATCCCTCTTCTGTACAGACAGATGGCCTGTCTGAGCACACTGAAGGATGTGTTTCATTTTACCTGCTCAAAGGAGTGAAGCCCACTCTCCTTCCCTAACCGTACCATGTCTTCCATTATCGCTTGCTGCAGTTCCTGCATCAAAACACAGAAATTCCTCATGAGCTACCATAGCCAACCTTACATGCAATTAATGTTCACTGTTCACCAAAAAAAGTGTTTCTGAGCAAAGTTCAAGTGCCTTACTAACAGTTAGTATGTAATTAGCAAAATTCTGTTGTAATGTATAAACATTACACTAAGTGTGGTGATGTTAAAGTGTCTCCTTGGTATGAAAAGTAAGGTTCTATTTTCAAACCAGCAATGTGACATAGCTGTTCAATTTACAGTCCTTCAGCCATCTGCCAGACTTCAATGCAGAATCACTGCCACAGACACCAGTGGAATGGTTCAGTGGCATCAGTATTTACTGATGTGATCCAGTGCAATTCCTCAGTATTAGAGAGCGTGTATCTATGACTGGGGTCCTTTTTATAGAATCATAGAATGTCCTGAGTTGGAAGGGACCCACAAGAACCATGGAATCCAATCCCAGTCCTTCATAGAACAGACCAAGAGTCATACCACGTGCCTCAGTGTGTTATCCAATTGCTCCTTGAGCTCTGTCAGAATTGATGGTGTGACCAGTCCCCTTCCAGTGCCCAGCCACCCTCTCTGGGAAAATATCCTTTTCCTAATATCCAACCTAAACCTCCTCTGACAACTTCAGGCCCTTCCCTCTGGTCCTGTTGCTGGTCACCACAGAGAAGACCAGCAAGAAGTTTTGTTTAGTTGTCTTATTTAAGAAATCTAAGCAAACACAACCTCTCCTCCTGCTGCACTGCTGTTCTCTGCAAGAGAGACTCTTTCCCCCCCAACACCAGTGCTGGCAGAGCTTGGTACCACCAGTCAACACATATCACTGGATCCAGGTCAACCCTGCTGAATGTTCAGTGAGGAAATAATTGTTGTCACTGAAATTGTCATTCCTAGACACAATATTGTGCACACATCATGTGACAGCAAAAAAAAAAAGGTCTGTACTGCAGATACAAACCTTATTTTTACAGAGTTCTGCATATGTTCCTTCAAACCCTCTTTTCTTTGCCCAACCTGGCATGACTTCAGAATCAGGCACCACAATTCCCACCAGGAAGGCCTGTAGGTAAAGGAGAAGGAGGGTTGCAGGCTAAAGCTGAACCATATTCCAGACTCCACATTGAAGAGAATACACAAGTCAGCTGAATTTCTGCATGTTTACTACTTCCTGTTTAATTATGTCAATAATTTGCTAACATATTATCATGAAGTATATTCTGATGCCTGTGCCTTTTTCTCAGATAAAAGGTTGTCTGTGACTGCATTTACCAGCAGATTTAATACCCTCAGCTGGGTTTGTGCTCCTCCTGGACATTAATAACTCACATGGCCCTGCAAATCCCAGGCAAACCCTGATGCCAAGTGAAGGCTCATGCTTGTGAGCCTTGAATGCAGAGGATGAATTGCCATGGCTTCAGAAGCTGTGTGTGTATAAATGTGCAAATTAACAGAACAAGATTGGTCAGAATGGGCAGGCAGTGTTAGGGGCAGCAGTGGCTTTGCCTTTCCTGGCTTACCACAGGCATGGTGGCAAAGGACAACATTGGAGACCCCAAGAGTGACACCAAAGCCAACTTAAAAGGCTGATCTTTGGTCACAGCATTCTCTAAGCTGCTCAGGATCACACCAGCAGCTCAGTTCCTGCCTGGCTGTCAGCCATCTCCAAAGCAGGAGGGAGACAGTGTGGCATGATCCACTCACATTTTCCCTTCATTCAAGCCCAGCTCTGTCTTCTAACTACTAAGAGTAAAGTAAGATTTTGTGAAAGCTTGGTTTGTACCTGCAGGCTGTCTCCATGGACATAGATCTGAGCAACAGGGTCACTGCGGATGTAGATATTCTCTATCTTCTCTGGTGCGATGTATTCTCCCTGAGCAAGTTTAAAGATATGCTTTTTCCGATCAATAATTTTAAGGGTCCCATTCTGTTAGGAGAAAGAAATGAGAATTCCCAGAGAAGTTATTTAACCACAGAAACTCAGCAAGCTGTCTGTCTTTAACAGAGATTTCAATTGCCTGTTGTGCTTTCAAATGCTTATTCTGCCAAATATAAACTCAATCCTTTGTAAAGATAGACCTGCTTGGAGACCTAAGTTCAGCCCTTGAAAATTTACTTGGGATAATACAATTTCCCCAAGAACTCTGAGTGTGTCCAGTACGCACAGGTAACCATTTTCCAATGTCTCCTGTGTGAAGCCAGCCCTCCTGGTCCAGTGCCTCAGCTGTCCTCTCTTCATCTTTCAAGTAACCTTTAAACACATTGGGTCCTTTCACACAGATCTGCAAAACAACCAGGGATGATGATGAATTATTTTCTTATTCTGCTATAAATATAAATTAAGTAGCAACTCACTAAATTTGAAATATTTTAATGACTGTGCTCCATGAAACTAAAATAGATTGGGTTATTAAACTATCTATGGATTTTTTTAAGCTAATGGAAATATGAAGTAGGCTTTGCAAAACTGATTTGTTTGAAGTTGATTTGCATTCCATTTGCAGTTAAAATTAAAATTATTTCAATACGTTTAATTTTTGTGTAGTATAGAAATCACAGCAATGTAGAGATCACAGCAATGTAGAAATCATAGCAATTCAGCTCTTCTTAGCTGAACTAATTCAGTCTTAGCAGTTTAAGGAATCAGGCTGGAAGTACTGCCACAGCTCCTTTTTCATTAATTTTTACTGCTCTATTGTTAAACTTCCATTTCCTTTCCTGATTGCACGATGCAACCCATCAGCAACCATGCACACTACAAAGGTCAAATGCTTCTATAAACTACTTCATACAGTGTTAACTAGTGAGAATTTGATATAAAAATGTGATTTGCTACCTCTCCTTCTCCTTTGGAAGCAAAATAATTCAGTTCTTCCACATCCTTCAATCTGATTAAGTTACAGGGCAAAGGGGCTCCTACATGACCTGGAAATCAAAGTTATCAAGTCACTTGTCATCTCTCCTATAAACAATAATTAGCATTTTATCATTAGTTACTTGCATAGTTGTAGATACACTGGATGTTCTTGCAGGAGCTGTGTCTGTATGCAGAAATAATTTACTTAATTAAGGTTTTGCACCATTAAAACTAAATACCGACACCTCCTCTTTAGATATAAAACCTATTCTGAAATAGCACAGAGTGGTTTGGGTTGGAAGAAACCTTAAAACTCATCTCATTCCAACCTCCTGCCAGGGGCAGGAGCACCTTCTACTAGATCAGGTTTCTCCAAGCCCCATCCAACCTGGCCTTGATGTTACAGTCCATAATTTCCTAAAGGAATGTGCATTTCTTTTATTTCTTCAAATGGTGGAAGAAAATAATTACCTGATGTCCAGTCACCTGGAGTTGTGAAGGTGCATCCAGCTGTGCATTCTGTTTGGCCATAGCCTTCATAAACCTGACAAAGAGACAAGTATCTTTAAAACATCATAAAAGATTTTGCTATTACAAACTGAAATCCCAAGCATTGCCCTGTGTTGCACAGTCCTGTGAGCTGAGCCTGCAGCTGCAGTGTGTGGTTGCCCATTTGCCATGTCCCTGGTAAATGGGCAACCACACACTGGCTTCTACTGTGTACAAAATTCCATCTACATAACTAGGAAAGACCATGGCTCTATATCATTGAAAATAGGGAGATGATGAGTTGAGCACTTAGCCTTTGATTCAGGACATATGGTACACTATGAGAGGAACTTATTAGTGGGAAAAAAAGGTATTTTTGTGGGACATTTTGAAAATCCACCTTTTTTTTTTCCCTGACTAATTTTAGGCTCTCAAATGAGACCTTTCAGTTGCTCTGGGCTTCCTCTCACAGAGAAATAATGCAGTGTTCATCTGATGTCTGAGGATTAGCTCTCTCCATTTATATATAGCATAAAACTTGTGTAATGAAGTTCCCAGCACTTGCACGAACACATTTAATTTCACATACTCAATTTGGTGCTGAGAAGTGGGTGGGATGAGCCTGTGGGGTTTTTCTGGGAGATGCCCAAAATGAAAACATCTCTTGCCTGTTTGTTGCTGCCATCCTAGGGCTGTTCCCACCCCACTGAGCTCTGGGTGTACCAGGACTCCGTGGCTGCCTCAAGCCCTGCTGTTCTATCCATCCTGGTACAGCTGTCCTAAATGCAGTTCTGAGGGTGTAACCCATCTCCTTTCCTAAACACCAGGAGTTCTCTTGCTAGCAGTGGATGAACACCCCTGAGCAGGCACACAAACCCACCTGGCATCCGAGGGCTGCGCGGAGGAAGCCCAGGACAGTCGGGGACGCGGGGGCAGCACCTGTCACTATCATGCGGACACATCCCCCAAGACTTGCCTGGTTGGTAGCAGGAGGAAACAAAAGAAAGCATCAGAAGCTACTGCAGATGGCAAAACCATGAGCATGCACAAAATGCTCTCTCTAGGATAGATGTGCAGGATTTCCTGCCCATGGCATGGGGTCAGAATTAGATGAACTTCAAGGAGTCTTCCAACCCAGCCATTCTGTGGTTCTGTGATGAGGCCATCTATGGAAATATGAACTAGCTCTGAAGCTTTCCTGAGGGATAAAAGCCCATTCAGTGTACAGAGACAGGAGTGCTCATGTCCCTGGCAGGACAAGCTGCTCAGCCTGGGCTCCTGCAACTGCTGTGCTTGGGCAGGCTGCAGACCTAGTTCTGGGAACTGCTGGGGAAAACAGACTCTTCCCCATCCAGTCTTCTTTGCTTATTTACACCTCACTGGGTTTAATGAATTGCCTCCCAAGCCCTCTAAAATAATGTTGTGCCTTTTTTAAGGCAGATGACCTTCAAATATTTCTGGAGGGTATTACATCAATTCCTGTGTCCTATTTCACTTCTTTCTCCTCCCCCTTCATTTCCTTTTCTTTATTCTAGAAGTAAAAAAGAAAACCCAGCACAAAAGAAAACAACTGCTGACTGAGTCTGCCCGTCTCGCCAGCCCTTGCATCAATATGCAGCCTGGCTCGCTCCCGGCTGGGTGAGCTCTGCTATCTTTGCACACTGAGGACAACTAATCCACAGACCACAAGTACAGTCAGTTTCTTTAGTTAAAAATAAAGTGGCATGTCTCCAGATAAGTCATCCGATTAAAAAAATGAAGTAATTAGAGCCTCTTGGAGTAGTACAGAGCCCAGAAAAACCTGGTTTAAAGCCAATTTAATATCTTTTTAACTGAGATGCGTGGGAAGCAGAAGGGCATTCTGATTTCTTTATTCATGGTTGCTAAACCATGATTCATGTGTGCATTTTTCTTTACAACTTTATTCTTTTCCTAGGAAGAAAAGTGGGTTTGAATATACCCAACTGCAACCCAACCCTAAGTCCAATACTATTTGTTGAGATTTTCCAGAAAACTTTGGAGCAGCATCTCTTTGATCAGTGACCTCCTTTTCATGACTACCTTTCTGAACTTCATCCCTAGATACCTTTCCTTCTCCCTCTCTCTTCTATCTGAGAGCTGCAAAAATTTTTTGGCACTATTCCATAAATTAGTGATTTCTTGGTGCTGCTGAAGAGGGATGTGGCAAATGTCATTGTAGCTTGCCTTGTGTTTCTCTATTTCCCTCTGAAAAGTTGTCCCTGAGAGAATGGAAATTTTGACATTATGCATGGTGCTTAAAAACAAAAACAAACAAACAAACAAAAAAAGGAAACCTTCACTAGCAACAAACTGTGCTCAGTTCCCTTTTTCTATTCTATTTTCCAATCTGTTGTTCACTAGTGAGTAGTGATTGCCCACAGTTCATCATCAGGCAAGTGGACTACAGTGACTTTAAGGAATCATAGAATTGTAAAGGCTGGAAAAGACCTCTAAGATCATCAAGTTCCTTCATCAACCCAGCACCATCTTCACAACTAAATTATGTCCTCAACTGCCACATCCACCCCCTTTTTTAACACTTCCATCACTCTCCTGGGCAGCCTGTTCCAATACTTGACAACCCTATCCATGAAGAAATTTTTCCTACTGTCTGAAACTGCCTTGTCAAAAAACTAGTAATTGCTAGAAGAAGCAAGAGTTCTTTCACTTCAGACTCACTTCTCGAATCATTTACCTGTATCTTATTAAAGAAAAGTTTATCCCACAAACTGTCGTTTCTAATGATGCCATTTCGAACTTCGGCCTTTTTCCGTCTGGCCGCAAATTCCAGGATCCAGCGCTTGAGGGATGTGTCAGCCTGGCTGAAGATCTGCAGGAGCACAGGATGGCAGATGAGGTGTCACAGAGGAGAGGGAGCACATCAACACCTCTTCTCCCCATGACACCCCACACAGCCAGGTGGGTACAGTTACAATTGCAGTCCAGGTAAACAAGGCTGAACTGGGGTTTGTTAGTGGGGAAAAAGGAATGATGTGTTTTGCTCCATTCCCTATTGCACACGTGGTTCCTCTGGGGAAAAAGACAGGATGGTGGTGCAGGCTTCAACTGGATTGACAAGGCTGCTCTTACTATATCATTTCTGTGATAGGATTCTGTAATGTTCATGCAACCTGAGCAACAGGCAATGAGCAACATGAACAGGTATCAGTGGTGGCTGATGTGGTGATGGGGGCTTCATTTACCTGAGCTTAATCAGGCACCAGCACAAACTCCACCTCAACAAATGAGAAACCCCCAGTGCCTGTCCCATTAATAAAGCACAGAAGCCCTGACCTTTGGGAAAAATTACATCAGGAGCTTGTGCTTAAGCTTGTCTTTAGCAGATAAGTCTTCTGAGGAATAAATATTCCCAGCTAGTCAAACAGATTTAACATGATGACCAGACATGCCTGTCTTAAATACCCCGCAATACCTTTACCTTAGTTTTAAAGATTTCTAAATCCAAAAACCACTGTCACATTTACACTGCCTAAATCCTCAAAGACTTTTTAAAATTTCTGATTTCCAGCTGTTGTTGCCACCAGAACAAGAGATTTGAGTTTCAAATCTGGTCGAAGGGCACAAAAAGTCCTTGTGCAGCCAGGTTTGACTGATGTTTCTGTGTTGAAAAAAAATCCTGTATCTCTAGAAATGTCAGAGTTGTTAGTGAGAACAAGGTAGGAAGCTAATACAGAAGGATTTCATACTCATGTGATAGCTGTGTCTGGAGTCTGTGTAAGTCATAATACAGGCTTACACACTGAAGGAGCTGTATCCATTACACAGGGTGAGAATGTGTCTGCAGCAAGGCAGAAATAGTGTCACCTGCTTGAGAAATCTCCATGACTAAGGGGGTTCTTCCACATGAGTAGTAAAGGGACATAAACTCCATTGTTCCAAAAAGAGTAAAATCAAGATGCAGCTCACCTTGTCATACATTCTGTTCAGCAGCCGTGGCACGACAGGGAAGATGGTTGGCCGCAGTGCCTTCATGTCATCAGACAGGAGGCGAATGTCGCCTTGGAAGAAGCCAATTCGCCCTCCGTGGCAGTACACTACAGACTGATGGGGAGAAAGAGGAACACATGTAACCCCTTGGCTTTCAGTTCCCAAAGCAAAGCATTCCTCTCCCAAGCGCAGAAGCTCCTTTTCTGAATTTCTGCTCTGCAATGTAGCAAAAATGGGACTTTGGAAATACAGTAAAGTAACAATAGATTTTGCGCTGGAGTGAAATATCCAAATAGTTCTGGGCATTTTTCAGGACAAGGAATTCAGCATCCACCAAATTTACCACTTGTTGTGGAAGAACAAGGAATCAAAATTTTCAGAAGGGATTTCCCTTCATCCCCTGCACATGGGGATGGAGAAGTCCCAGTTAGGGTCAGAGTCTGGATCAGAACTTTGCTAAAGCCCAGCCCTCCCATAGCAGCTCACAGCATGAGGACCTATCAATACAGAAATGCAAAGTAAGAAACATCATAAAACACAGAGCAGCAGCCAATTTTTAGATGTTAATACTTTAGTTTTGTTTAAATACAACAATATAAACTACGTTAGCAATACAGTGCCTGATCCTGTATCCCAGAAATAAAGCCCACTTCATGAAAGGTGCTTGATTTGTATGGAAACTACAAATCCAGAAGCCTTGTACTTGGAAACAAAGCAGGGTGTTTTCCTCATCAGCAGAATGGAGCCCAGTATGTGAGATGGGGCAGAGGGGCTGCTGGCCATGAGCCAGCTGGTAGCTGGTTACTGGTGACCAGTAACCCTGCCAAGGAGCCAGCACAGACTGGGTCAGTCTGGCATTTTATCACTGAAGAACATTTGGAGACCAACACTTCTCCCATGGTTTTACAGTGCATGGAGGAGAATGTCCTCAGCAAGTGCCCCTGTGATGCCAGAGCTGAGCCCAGCCTTCCTGAGTAGACTGAAAACTTCAGCTCCCTTTTGTGGGCTTGTCTTCCCCAAATAACTAAATAAGTTGAAAATTCCTTAAGAGACATGCACATCTTTTGTGCAGCTCCTAAAAATCTGCAGTACTAACCAAATTGCTCTCACTGCTCTGTCAGGCAGTTAGAGACTGTCTCCATCAGCTGAAACCACAGGAATTTTACACATGTGATGTGGGTTTAATGAAAATCACACTGCTGAATCTGTGCTTTACACTGCACATGAATTTAAATTAAAAAAAAAAGTAACCAGTGTGCTCATTGGGAACTGGAAATAACAACTAGAAATTTTTAGCTTTAAAGAATGTATCTGTATTATTTTAATTGTACATTCCAGGAATGAAAAATTCTGGCTAAAACTAGGGACACTGATGCAGTGCTTGCTGTTCAAAAAGCTTTTGAAAATTGAAATTTTTAACCCTTTTGAAAAAATCTTTATATTAAGCTGTTTCAGATGGGAGGATAAACCTGAACATCCTTTGGAGGCTGTCCCTTTCAGTACAGCAAGGTCCTGTGAAATGAAAGCATTTTCAATGTTTCTAATGTCTTTCTGCCCACCCATCAGATGAATTTTGAATAATTATATTCTTGTTTGCTGAACAGTGCTGGCACACTGACCAACTTGCCTTGCAGGTGGAGAAAGGCTGGGCTGTAATTCTCTAAATCTTTCATGGGCTTTTACTTCCAATTTGTGAGAGTTTTAACAGGGAAAAATATATTATTTCTGGCACAGATGTTACTAAGAAGTGGGAGGTTTTTATTCAGATGCTTCTCTGACTCAGAGAGTGTGCTTTCAGCCTGAAACAGGCCTCTCTGAGAAAGTACAGAGCTGCAACTGGATCCAGATCCAACCTTCACATACCGGATCTATTTTAAGTTTGCAGCTTCTCAGGCCAGGAGACTGATGTGACTGTCTCACCTGACTTGCCTAACTCACCAATTGCAGCACAACCCGAAAAGAGACATGAAGTCAGTTCTGTGGGCTAGCAAGGACTTGAATCTGCCATAATTCCTGGGGGACACAGGCTCCAGTTAATGGCCACCACATGCTGCCCTGCCAGGAGGATCATGTGTCTCACCATGATCTCAGTTTCTTCTTTTTCAGTATCTGCCAGGCTAGGATTTTTTTTTTTTTTTTTTTTTTGTAGATCATGTTATTTATGCAAAAAAATAATTTTAGCTGATGTAGAAAATGGCATGAAATTATCTTGACTCACACGACACCTCATCCTAGAGTGCTGTGAAAATCTGTCCCACAAACAGTTCAGGTAGCAGTAGCCATGAGCTGTGTGAGCCATGAGTCTGGCTCATTGCTGGAGGGCTGTTTTTCAATCCCTGAGCCAGGTGTAAGCTGGAAAACTTGGGAAACTCTCCTGGCCTTGCTCTGGACTCACAGCCATGTCACTGAGACCATGGCTCTGGTGTTATGCACGTGGCACTTCTGGAGTACAAGCCTTTTTAGTGCTACTAAAGATATCGCTGGTTATTTAGTATTTTATTCATTTTATTTTATTTTTTTGTTTGTGGCGTGGAAAAAAGACTATTTCCACTGACACCATGACCTTACCTGTACCATTCTCTCAAACATGTGTGCTAAAGGCAAATAGGAAATGTGTACATCCTCACAAGTAGGAGACCACTGACTCTGGAAGAAAACACAAGGAGCCCCACGAGGCCTCGTCAGTTCAGGCAGGTTTCTTACCTGTATAACTCTTTCAAACATGTGAGCCAGAGGCAGGAAGGAGATGAGCACATCGTCCTGTCTCGGAAAGATCACTTTCTGCAGGTGGAGGGCATGGGAGACAGAAAGGAAAGAAACACTGACAGGAAGACAACAAGAAAGTCATAAAATAATAAAAAGAAAAATGGCACCAGAGGAGCAAAAGGGTAAAGATTGTCAAGAGAGGAGGGAGCGGCGGACACAGGGAAGCGTTAAAGCCACAGCATCATGGAGCTCAGTTAGCAGGAGGAGTAAAGAGCACGGAGATGTACACACAGGGCAATGCAGAGGGCTCTCCTTGGCAGAAGGCAGATTGTAGCCACGCTGGGAATGGAGGCTCACCCTGATGGAGAATCCCATTTTTATCCACTGCTTTCTACCAGGAGGTGCCGAGACCCTGATCTGTGCTCTCAGCTGTGCCAGGCAGCAGGATCCTGGTGCAAACCTGCAGGAGCCCCCAGGATCCCAGTGCTAACCTGCAGGAGCCCCCTGGACACCAGCAGGGCTCTGCAGGAGCAGCACTTTCCCACATTGCATCCAGCCCATTCAAAAATCACAGTGTTACTAGAGTCAAAATTAGCCATTTTTTTCCCTTTTTCTTGGGTTAATCATTGGTTTGAATCAATGTGTTGTAAAGCTAATGATTTAATCTTAGGCTTCAAAAACTAATTACTTCTGTTAGTGTTTCTCATCATTTTAAGTGATTCAAATATTTTAAGGGCATTACGACTGTCCCATAGACAGGGGAAAGAAGGGAAGAGGGGAAGAAAAGTGACCAAAGTCTTGATTTTGCCAAGTTTTTAACTCTCTCTTGAAGGCTGGAATAAACAAAGGCCCCAAGAGCCTTACCTAACCCATTCCCCAAAGAAAATAACCTTTCTGCCTGCATCTCCTAGGGAACAGCTTGCTGTAATACTATGGATTAGAAAAACTGAAAGGTTGACTACCCAGTAATTTGCATCAAGGCCAGCAGTTAGGGGAAAATGGGTATAAAAATCTATCAGCTCACAATATTAACAGTTTATACCCACTTGCACCTCCACTGCTCAGAAAGAATCAATAGCCCCTGATCTGGGATACAGTGGAGGCAGACACAGGAGTTCCTCCCTCAGGGGATATTTTATTGAAGTTAAATCTGGGCTGGTCAGATTTGGTTATGGCCTCCCAGCCATCACTACCAAAGTCAAACATCATTGACCATGTGGGTGTTCTCAGCATCCCATTTCATATTATTGTGTCTGTCAGTCTGAATGAAGCCATTAGGGCCTGCAAATCTATTTACACATTATTTCAATTTGGCTTCATTTTCTGCAAGCACAGTAATGCAAAACCTTTAATATCAACCAGGGGTTTTTTATTACTGCTGTAAGAGCCCAGACAAAATAATCTAGTTTTAAATCAGACCAAAATTATGCCATTGAATAGCATTTCACAGTTGGCACAGTTGTCCAGTTAAATGTAAAAATGCAAACAGCTTCTTGGTATTTGAGAACAACCTTATTATAAAGCTCTGGCTTAAAAATACATTTGGTTTTTAAAAATCACTGAACTAAGCAAAACTGCCACAAGAACTTGTAAACAACAAACCCATAGAACTTCTCATTTTGTTTCTTTAATTTATACTATTTTCAAATGTTTCACACTTTACTCTATTTCATTACTATGGTCAGACATTACCCAAATCTTGTGGATCAGCTACAGGCATTTACCCTCTGCCAGCAATACTCTGGTGACTGGAGATAAATTTACAATCACACCAGACTTGGGGCTCAATCTGTTACCTTTGAGATTAATCCCACTCCATCAGCAGAGGGTTCCACTCCATCAGCAAACACTAAATCCATTTAGTGGACCAATTCTGGAAGATGCCAAGTTCCCTCAGCTCTAAATTAGTGCTCTTCCAAAATAAATGCCTGCCCTTAGAAGCTCAGGCCTCTCCACACCTCAGCTTCCATTTGTGCCTCTTGCTGCCACTGAAGCTCCATGCTGAGGAGCCCTCACTGGCATTTTGTGCTGCACACTGTGGAGGCACAGTCCTGCAAACATTGGAACATGTGAGTTCAGTGGCATTTCTTACATCACATGGCTGAGTTTCTTTACACCAGTGGTCTGGAAATCTCAGAAAATTCCAGGATTAAAGCAAAAAAACTCAGTAATCTCAACATCAACAATAAGACCAGTAAGGGATATGAGATAACCAATTCTATATGCATGTAACTACTTTATAGAATTCCTGTTCACTACCAGAAATTAGACTCTTTAGATTTGTTTTATATAAGATGTATAAAATCCTTACTATGTCATGGTCAACTGATTTTGCTTCCTATTTTGTTTCTAAACATGAGTTTACATGTTGTGTGAAACAGATTATAAAGGCACTTGGCCAGCACTATGCTGTGCTCTGTTAGAAATATGTAAAACAAAAACTGAAATATACTGGAATATCAATGAAATTAACCATGAACCATTCTGGTAAAAAATCATGTATGTTCTTATATATATACACACACACTTTGTATGCAGAGAGGTGTCAAATAAATGGTGACATTTTTGGGCACAATGGGACACACAGAGCACAAGAGGAGCTTGAACTCCTCTTCAAGAACCAGTTGCAACGGTACAGGGCTTGTGTGCTCCCCTAATTCTTCAAAAAGAGTTACTGAATTAATTTACAGAAGTCAGCATTGTTTCTCAGAAGCCCTTAGTGCCCTACAGAGCCTGGGAGCCAAGGCTGGAAAGAGGATTTAATGCCCTCCAGTACTGTAGACTCAGCTTTGCTCCATTCCCATGGATTTGGCCCTCTGAGCAGGAAAAATGTCATCTTTTATCTGCAAGAGCATCCTTCCATCCCATGCAGGGCCTCAGCTCAACCCACACACCCTGCACATGGCAATGTTTTCTAGCTCAGGGTAATCACCTCCGTCACTTTCAAAAAGCCTGAAAAATCCGCCACCACGTTTCCATGGGTCAGCATAGCACCTTTGGGATTTCCTGAAAGGAAACAGAGAGGCAGTTTAAAAGATAAGCCAGAAGGTAACTTTGAAAAACTGAACAAAAAAAGCCAAAACAATAAATGGTTAAAATACTATGTTTGCTTCTTCAATTTTGAAACATATGTAATTTTCACCATCATTTCTGTGCACTAATATGAACCAAAACCACTTCAATACTTGAAACTCAGTAAAATGATAGTGCAAACAGAAATATTTCTCTTGGAGGCTCTGGAAAACAGGTTCCAGCAGCAATAGCCCAACTGCAATTTCTGAGAGTGCTCAGATGGAGCCACTCAATGAGCACAGCCATCAGACTTGGCTGGCTGTTCCAGCCTCTCTTGGGAAGATTTATTTCATTCAGATTTTGACTAAGAATGATCTTGAACACCAAGAAACACTGTTTAAAAGGCTATTAGACTCTTAACCAGTACTCTGAATAACATGAGAAATGCAGAGAGCAGTGCAGGTAAAAATTAGGCTACAAGAAGACCTTTTGAGACTACAATTAAGGGAAGTAATGAATAGTAGCAGCAGCAGAGGTGTCTTGAAGACAGCCCTAAATCCATCAGGGAGCCAGCAGAGCCCCTGTGTAATGTTCCAGAGCTGGGCACTGCCTCTACAGCATTTCACCCACCACCAACAGGCATCTCAGCACCACCAATATTTGCCTTTTTACACTTCTTTTACACCATGGTCAGCTGACCATGGTACACCTCTTGCATTTCATAAAACCAGAATGTTTGTTCAGCAAATACACAGGCTGGAACCTCCATGTTCACAAAAAAGTGACATGGAAGGCTCTGCACATCCTCCTATCACAGCACTGTCCCTTTTCATCACCCTCCAAGGCTTTACTTGTGAAAATAAGGTGTAGCTCAGCTCAAATAAAGATTATGGGGCCAGCCTCTTTCTCTCCAACATGTTTTTAAGCAGATTGTTTTAATTCCATCACACCACTGCCACGTAGTTCCTGCTGCTCCGTGCGAAGGCAGATCAGGGGAGCTTTACCTGCAGGTGCCCAGTGTGTCCCCAGAACACGGGGCACAAGCAGCCTGGCAAAGCTCCTTCAGTTAATGTAACAAAATGGTAAACCAGCCAGAATTTCATTCTGCCTCCCTCAGATTAGGAAGAGACTGTGGTGCTTTGTGAGTATGTTTCAGCACAGGAAAGTATGTTTAATCCTCTCATTTCAGAGCAGTTTGAGGGCTGTGCTGGCAGCAGCCCTCCAGTGTGGGCATGGGCACAGACATGGGCACACTCAGCACTGAGCCCTGCCAGCACCACCACCATCACTCTTACTCAGCCTCCCAAATAATTAAAGGCAGGCACAAACAGCAGTAGCAATTGTTGCATACATTTATTGCAATAGAGCAGGATATTTTTAACACAATATATTATACTGAAATTCCTATTTGCTGCTCCAAGTGCCTTGAGGAATTCAGTCCCAAACACTTGCAGATGAAGATGATGCACAGGACGTTGGTTTGGTCCCATCTGAAGTTCATGACAGCTTTGCCAGCCATGGCTGCTCCCATGCCAACATGCTGAACCAGGCTCACAGCTGCCAAACCAGCCTGGCAGCTCATTTTCACAGCTGGGTGCACACATGGATCCAGGCTCCAAGAAACATCCATGAACAGGTGTCAGCTGTGCATAGACACACGACTCCAGAATCACTTGTGTTACTGAGGTGTGTCCAGCCAAGCACTGGTGCTCAGCCCCTGCAGTTCTAGAAGCAGCTCTGCTCCTGCAGTGTCACAGTGGAGAGGATGTGCTCAGTACTGGTTTGGAAACTCAAAACTGTGCCCTCTAGCACACACCTGGTCCCTGCACCTTGACAAAATTCTTCAGATGCTTTTTGGAGGATTTCAAGTGTTCAGTGCCAGGCTGGGTGGGGCTTGGAGCAAACAGGTCTAGGTGAAAGTGTCCCTTGCTATGGCTGGGAATTGGAACTAGACATGCTTTGAAGGTCTCCTCCAAGCCAAACTATTCTGTGATTCCATGAGATTTCTCAGATATTTGACTCATTTACTCACTCCCCCTCTGACTTGAATGCAGATCCAGTATCTCTGCCATCCCTGGAAGCAGTGTTAACATTCTGACTCCTTCTTCTGCATCCCTCTTCTTGTACAGGCTCAACACCCTGGACAGGCTGCAGTGGTGATGGTGTCTAAGCAGAGCAGCAGTGCTGGAGCCAGGAGAGGCTCCATCAGGAGAAATCCAGAACAAACCATGCTGTTATGGGACAGCTGCAGCTTTTTGGGTTGAGGGACTCCTGTAAGCTTTAACCTTCCTTAGTAGTTCTAAGAGTTAACCTAGAAAAAATAGGTGCCCCTTTCTATGAGCCCTTTCCCAGAATTACCACTTTGAGAGAAGAGGGTTGGCAGGGATGCTGCTTTTCTATTTAAAAAAATCAATGCCATTTCTGTAACACTGCTCTTGTTTGAAGAGAGAATTTCCTCACAAAGACAGGCCCAGTGAGTTTCCTGTTACAGAATGGATACCTTGCAACCCATCAATAACCCAGGAATGTCAAGTCCTCCTTGTCTTGGTGCCAGGCTTGTTTGGTAGTTCTCATAAGCAATACTAGAACCTTTAAAAGAATAGAAGAGAACCTTTTCCACGTTGCCAAAAGGGTCTTTCAAGTGCTTCAGCACAAACTTGATGGTGTGATCCACCAGTGTTCTGGGATGCAAGCACTTTCCTCCCCTGAGGAGCTCTGGCAAAAAGGAACATGCACTGGCCAGGCTGGGAGAAACCACTGGGAAGCAATTTTTATCCACCTGATCAGTGGATCCTTGAGGGAATGACAGTTGACTGATTTCTCTGGAGTAGCCAATATGAAAAATTGTGTCCTGACAGTTTGGGGATATCTATGTATCTTTGGCCCATTTCCAAGTGCTGATGGCTTCTTGGCACAACCATGGAAGTTGCTCTTGTCATCCAAGATCAGCAACCACAGCCTCTCTTTTCTCCCTGAGGAAGCATTGGGGCATCTGATCCTGTCAAAGAAAAGCAAGTGTTAAAGTCTGCTCCTGGGGAATTCTTTGCAATTCTACAATTTTCAGGTGACAAATTCTAGAGCAGAGATGTTTTTCATACCATACAAAAATATTTAAAACCCTTTGGAACTGGAAAAGCCCTAGAGAGCATATCCTTTGGCAGAAAATTCTAAATTTAGTTACTAAAAATTGCATGGGCTATATAAAACTCTTACATCAAAGCACAATGTAGAAAACAGACCAGAGTGTTGATGCAACCTCTGGAAAAGGCAGAGAGTTATGTGCAAAGTCCTGCAACAGCAGAGGATGGGCTCATGCATCACAAATCATTGTTATGAGAGGGTTCAGTTTGAGATGATTTGCAAAATTGGAAATCTCTGATTTGGATGGGAGAAGGGAAATGAACTTCCTGGTTGTCCTATTTCTGTAACTCTGGGCATGTTTCTAAGAAAAGCACAAAATCGGAAACTGGCCCATGACTGCATCTGCAAATGAAAAAGAAAATCAAAAGAAACCTTCTCTATGCAGAATTTCTTATTTAGAAATAAAAATGTCAACAATAACGTGACTTGAAAGATAAGTGCTCTGCACTTGACCATGCACAGAAACACACCATGCCCTGCTGCATCCACAGCATGGCTCCTTCCATTTCCACTGCTCCCATTTGTGCCCAGCCACTTTGCACTCACTCTGTACATGGCTGTGATGTTCATGTCCAGCACTGAGGTCAGTCTTTCCCATTTAGGAATGCCCAGTGCTGGAACAGAGCAGAGTCACAGGCTCCTTTCCCTCAGTACCCTGCCCTGGGCAGTCTGAAGTGCAGATATCAAATCTAAGGACCATACACAAAGGTAAAATATCCCTTTTAATACATCTTGAGCTTGTACTTGGATAAAGCAGTTGCCTACCTGGTGTGAAGCACAAGTCTTTTCTGGGAGGTGGAGGATGAAGGTGTTCCCTCGTGCACAGCCTGACCTCCCATCTGAGGAGCAGCAGCAGCTCCCAGCATCTTCTGCTAGACCAAGCTGAGGATGCTTTGGTGTAGGACCAAGCATTAGGCAATCCCAAGAGCACAGGTGGATCTGGAAGAGCTGCTCCAGCAGTCCCTGGAGCATGGACCTTCTCTGCAGGCAAGCGTGAAAGCAGTGTCCCAAGCAGTGATGCCTTGTGCATCTGCCCACACAGCTTTCAGGGAGATGTTACAGAGGCTGAGCTCCCAAGAGTAGGAAATTCCTGCAAGCTGATGAAGACCAGGGTCTGAAGAGAGGAGAAAGAACTGCCCCTGCTAAGAACAGGCAGGAAAATGATGCTGCCCCTCTCTCCAAGAAAAAGAGGCCAGCAGCACATGAGTACCAGCACCAGGCTCATCCCAAACCTCTCCAGCACTTGGTGTCATGAGCAACACACAAGAAGAGGAGATGGAGGTGACAAGGACCTTGGTGAGGCTGGAGACATCAATGTGCTTAGGATACAGAGAATGGAGAGCTGTGGAACCACATTTTAGGTTTTTTGGATTTTTTTTTTTGGTTAATACTTGCAAAAGATAAATACCAATCAACCAAGTGCTTCACAACTACACAACAAAATGGGAAGAAGACACATGGGTGGATTTCCAGACAACTGCAAAATCATACTGGCAAAGTGTATGCCAGAGAATTCAGTTGAAAAATAAATATATTGTTATTTTTAATTTGCAATCTACAGAAGTATATAAACCTATATATTCTTAAATATTAAAAATGCCTAGAAATATCATTGCCATATCAGTATAACAGCAAGTCTGTATGTATTGAGGTTGGATTCATAATTAATTTCATAAGATATTCTAACATTTCAAGATTAAAATGCCTCTTTTACCTGTAGTGCCACTAGTAAAACAGACAATTGACAGATCTTCTGGTCGAGGAGGCTAGAAATACAAAAGGAGATTAAGAAAATCACATCAGTCAAATGCAGATATGTCAGTGGTAGAGACTGTTGACATTGTAGAAACCTAAAGATCAAACCAATTATGTTTTTGCTCTGACAAGAGAAAAAAAAAGCTGTAATTCCCCTCAGCATATTTAACCAGGTTTCTTCAGTTAATGCAGACTCTATTCCTGGCTTTATGCTGTGTTCCAGCTGCACTAAGGGCATGCTTTAGTGTTTGTCTCACAGTTAGTATTTTCCAATCCACCACCTATATCTTTAGACATGTGGCACAACTTGAGATAATTCATCAATTTCCAGGTCAATTCTGGAAAGAACCCCACAACAGGGGACAAGATTCCAAAGCTGCTGATTGTTCCCATTTCCAGCAGCATCTCTGTATTCTAGTGCACCACCCCATACGTGCACTATTTTGGGTCATGAATGATTAAATAAACAGCTTGAATATCAGAAGCTGCTTTTCAGAGTTTTGTATGAATATGAGCAGCCAGTGAAAAATATCAAAGCAATTTTCCCAAAATATCCCATATAAATACTGCCAAGTAGTGCTTCTGAATTCTGAACTATAGGAACCCCAGCAGAAAGTGAAGGGTAGAGAGACATTCCCCCAGTGCCACCAGGGTAAGGTAGTGGAATTAGGGTAGCTTAACAATGGCATTTCATTTCTGTCCCATTAACACATTCATAGTAGGATGAGCTATCTCAATTAAGTGTTCCAGGTAGAGGAAATAAAGCAAATACTGCTCATTGTTCCCTGTGGGGGTGGTGAAGCCCTGGCCCAGGTTGCCCAGGGAAGCTGTGGCTGTCCCATTCCTTAAAATGTTCAAGGCCAGATTGGACAGGACTTGGAGCAACCAAGCACCCATAGAAGGTGTCCCTGCCCATGCCAGGGGGGTGGAACAAGAGCTTTAAGGTCCCTTCTGCTGCAGTTGTAAGTGGGAAAAGCAACAAGCCAACACTCACCACAGGCACATGTCGGCTCTCACGGCCACAGTCCTGGAAGAGATGAAAGCAACAAAAGTGATTTCCACCTTAATTCCTGCAGTGTAACCCACTTGCTAACAATCTGCCATCCACTAAGGGAGAGTGTAAGCTAAAGCAGACAAATTCCTAGCTGGCACTGAGGACATCTTCATTATCCTGAGTTTCTTGCCTCAACTGCAGTGCCTTCCTTAGATTTCAAGTAGTGTTTGGGTTGGTTGAGCTGTATCCAGGGTGTTTCAAACAAGTGTGAGGCTGTAGGCTTACATGTCATGTGGGTGAGGGTCCCTAGTAATGCAGTGTCCCCAGGCAGGTGCAAAGGAGAGCTGCTTTATTGCAAAAACCAGGCCTTTTTAAGGAGTTTGCCCATTATCAGTTACATAGTTTTAAAGCATAACAACCATAATTCAACCAACCACCATACACCACAATGTGAACACACAATGGTTTATAACTCGTTTTCATACTCCTAATTCAGCTGAGTCTCTTTCCCACAGTCCTCTTCTACTTAGCCTAAGTAACAGACCTGAGCCATGATTTTACAAGGTAAAATCTTTTGTAAAGTTTTACTTAGTGGTAACATTGTATGAGGACAATGTCTCAAATAACAACCCTCTTCCCATGCTTAAATAGCAGCTGATAGCATGCTTGAGGATAAAGAATTGAAATGTTGGCTCTGCTATCAACAAGGAATAACACCAAGAGGCAAGTGCACCAAGCATCAGCATTATCAGCCACAAGCTGCTCTTTTGTGCTCTCCAGACCCTGAACCTGGCACACAATTCACAAGTCCCTGTGCAATGTACTGTCTTTTTACAGATATTACAAAAAATAGTACAAGGGGACAGAGAGCAAACTCACCTCCACCTCCTGCATGGTCTGGATGCGAACCCCACAGCTCTTCCCTCTCTCTGTCAGCTCCTTCTCAAATGGGTCCATCAGGATTATAGACCTCAGGCCTGGTGTTTCTTTCCTCTCCACATGGTCAAGGAGTATCTTGGCTTTTTCAGGCTTGTCACAAATGACTGTGGAAATGTCAGCTGCAAGAAAAACAGCCAAACAAGCTGTTTGCAGTAAATCTTTAATGCAAGATTAGCTCATAGCTAACACTATATCAGTTCTGATAGTCACTCCAGGCTACACCAGAAATCCCAGCATACAGCACATGCTTCTCTTGAAAAATGAGGAAAAATGCAGCCTTAGCTAACCTAACTCAATGACAAAGCTGTAGCTGACATTTATGATTATTCTGGGAGTCAGTTCAAAATATTCAAATTAGTCCCCACATGCATTAAAAAAATCTAGGAGGCAAAATATCAAGCAACACAAGAGTGGGTGGACACATTCCCACATCCAGAGCAGCCCTTATCCATGTCTATGCACAACTGGGCATGTGGAAAATGCAACAGAGGCAGCACAGAGACACACAGCTTCTCAGGAACCTAAGTGAATTCAAGACACTCAAGTATAATCACAATGTCCCATCCCTGGAAAGTGTTCATGGCCAGGATGGATGAGGCTTGGAGCAACCTGGTGTAATGTGTCCCTGCCAATGAAGAGAGAGTTGGAACCAGATGAGCTTTAAGGTCCCTTTCAACTCAAACCATTCTGGGATTCTATGATCATCTGTCTTTTAGAAGCAGAAAATGAACCATTCTGAGCAACAGAACTGAGATCACATCAGTTTGGATTTTACCTGTGTTGACAATGTACCGAATGGCTCCAGGACCTAAGGTGTCATACAGGGGAACCACCACCATGGAATAGGTGTAGCAAGCCAGCTCAGAGATGATCCACTGAAGGAGAACATGGAAGCACAAAGGTGAGAAGGGGCCACGAGAGCAGATATAGCTTGAGAACAAGCTGACAGGTCAGGAACATTATTAATACAACATCAAGTTGGATATAAAATCTCACCTCTGGACGGTTTTGAGCGAAGACGCCAATGAACTGCTTTGTGGATGGCTTGCAGCCCTGCTGCAAAAGGCCTGAACCCAGAGCTTCTGCTCTTTCAGCCACCTGGAATTTGGAGAGGAGAAAATACATAAAAAAGAGGAATATAAGCAATACCAAATTAAGCCAAGATTTACAGGGAGGCTCTCAAATTACTGTATTTCCTATCTAGAAGTCCAATTTTTATGTTATCATCAACCATCATTAGCTGACTAGCAGTTGATGAGGTCGGCGATGCCCCGTGGCTCCAGAGTGCCTCAGTGCTGCTTTCAGGAGTGGGCTCATGGCATGGAGCCAGCCCCTGAAAGCTGACACACCCATGTAACACCTGGATGTGCCAGGCGGAGGACAGCAGGAAGCATCAAATGGTGCATGAGCAACCCCCTGGTCTAACGTGCAGGCACCCCAACACCCCTTCTTGTGTTGGGCAGGGGAAGAGGATGCACAGTGGGTGTCACATCCAGCTCACCTCCTTGTAGGACAGCCACTGGTAGGGCTGCTTGGGCTTCCTGAAGCCCAGGCAAGGGCCATTCTCTGAAAGACACAAGCAGAGATGATGAGTTATGGGGAGGCAGTGCCAGGAGTTAACACATGGGGCCACGATGTGGGGGAGCCCTCCAGGAGTAAATCCATAGTTATTGGGCTGGTTCTCACAGCAATCTCCAGCAAACTACACACACAAGTGCATCTGGTGGGAGATGAGTTGCTGGAATCCCCCAAAAAGGCCTCAGTCCTCCCCACTGACAGCAGCAGTTTGCCCTAAACAGCCTCAATAAAAGACACTTCTCCAAAGGTCACATGAGCATTAGTGTCTGATAAGGGCACTCATCCCACTACTTGTGCTGACTTTTGATTTTAAAAGGTGAAAACTACTATATTTAGCTCAGCCTACTCTGGAGAAAGGTAAAACAACATGCAGCAGTGCAAGACCAGATGAAAATTTGAAAAGTTTGAATAATTTGCTAATGGTATCTTACTTGCAGAAATCCATTCCTCCATACACCTACTGAGTCCTTCATTTACCCCTGTCTTGTGGGGCAGAATATGTGCAGATCTTCTGGGTTTTTTTATGGTACCAAAAATACTAATCTGACCATGACATTGTTACATCAAATGAGGCAGGACACCATAAACAGCAGACATGGAAATAGTTATGGTAGAGCAGAGAAGAGTCATCATGGCTCTTTGGAGTGGAAAGTGATGATTCTCAAGAGTGTGAGAGCTCTGCGATGATACCAGTGACCATGGGGTAAGAATACCTGCATGGCCTGGTCTCCACCTCTCCCAACTTCTGCTCCTAGGCCTCCTCACCACTATGCTCTCACCAGAGATGCTGAATCCCCTCCTGAAGACCTCGTACATGGTCCTGGCATCATCGTAGTAGTGCGTCAGCAGCTGCGGGCTGTCCCCAATCACCGAGCGGCGCGCCCCGGCCAGGCCCTGCGTGACATCAGGTGACACAAAATGACACAGCCAGCAGCACTGCCCAAGGGTGGGAGATGGGGAAACTCCCACCATAAAGCAGCACGCTTCCCAAATGCCAGCAAGACCTCTGAGACCACCACCTGCCCCAAGACCCAAAGGGATGTGAGAGGGACCTCATTGACCTCAGCACCTCAGGGATATGGAGAGCCCTCTGGTCACAGAGGAGCACTTGACCCAGCTCATTGTCCCTGAGATCATTGATATTTCCCTAGGGAATTTAATAAGGAATTATGGATCTGGAAGTAATGGAGTGGGGATGTGCTGGGGGAATCAATGGCTCTGGGCTCCACGGGTCTCCAGGACTAGCACCATGAGCACTTCCACAAAGACATCCAGGCCAACATGAAGGACAGACCAAGGCAGAGCCCAGCCCCCAGTGCCATGAGCTCAGCAGATGTGTTTTAGGAGTGGGCAACCAGGGTGAGAATGACCAAACCAGGACTGCACTGGGAGCCAGAGAAAAAGTCTAACTAAAGCCCTAATCACAGGGAAAAACTATCTTGGAAAATGTTAATTCCTCCTACCCTTTTAAAAAACTGTTGGAATTAAAGACAATGACATCTTAGAGGGAACATCACAAAAGGCTTTAAAAATTCTCATCCCACTTTCAGATATTAAAATAAGTGGAGACAATACTCGGAAATATTTCTGTTCTTTAAGACAGAGCCTTTTGCAAGGATAACGATTAGTAACTCCTCAGCCTCTAAGCATGGATTCAGGTTTACTTTTTTTTACTATTACCAAGTTTGCAGCACCAAACTCAGCAATGGGCACACATGAAGAGTGCCAGGTGATCTGGTCTCATCAGCTGTTGCCTTCCAGTTGTTTCTCCCATTCAATGGCAGTGCCTCTAATTTTTTGCCACAGATGGTTGAGCAAAGCTAAGACCAAAATTTTACTGAAAATCTAAGAGAATAACATGCTGTATTCTAGTTTTTTAGTTAACAGGAAAAGGTGAAGTGATGGGGTGAAGCGATCCCTGGCACAGTGCATTACTTGGTTGATTTCAGGATGAGGTTGGGGAACTACCAAAACAATAACAACAAAAAAGCCTTCCTGGTGTGCCCTGTGGACATAGATCTGTAGAAACAAGTCCAGAGGAACCATGAAGGTGATTAGAGGGATGGGACACCTACCCTATGAGGAAATGCTGAGAGAGTTGTTGTTGTTCAGCCTGAAGAAGAGAAGGCTCTGGGGAGACCTTAATGAAAGGGGCTGGAAAGGGACTTTTTACAGGGGCACATAGTGACAGAACAAGGGGTAGTGGCTTCACACTGAAATAAAGTGGGTTTAAATTACATGCTAGAAATAAATTCTTCCCTGTGAGGGTGGTGGAGCCCTGGCACAGGTTGCCCAGAGAAGCTGTGGCAGCCCCGTCCCGGCAAGTGTCAAAGGCCAGGCTGGATGGGGCTGGGAACAGCCCGGTCTAGTGCCCATGGCAGGCGGCTGGAATGAGATCATCTTTAAGGTCCCTTGCAACCCAATCCGTGCTGTGACTTCCAGGCATGCAGACCTTGGGGAAAGCCAGCGGGGGTTGCCCTCACCTCGACTTCTTCCGACTGCATGCGCAGGTCGCAGGGCGGCTTCACGGCGCGGGGCCGGCTGGCGAACCAGTAGGCGACGACGGCGGCGAAGGCGCCCAGGCCCACCAGCGCCGTGGCCGGCAGGTTGCGGAAGAACTGGCTGAGGTCATCGAACTCGGGCAGCCGCAGGCTCCGCAGGATCTCCTGAGCCTGCATCTTCTCCACCAGCGAAACTGCAACCTCTGCAAGAGCCACAAGGATGGGTCGGGTCGGGTGAGGTCAGGCTGAGGAGGGGCAGAGGCAGCACAGGGCTCGGGGAAGAGGAGAACATGCTTTGCCTCATCAGCCATAGCAGACACCCTGCTCTGCTGAGCCAGGGGCTGCCTGCCAGTGGCCACCCTAGCTGAGAAAAACTGCATCTATGGAAGAGACAGAAGAAAAGAGGAAGCATCCATAGCAGGGTGAGCCAGAACAGATAGTTCACTCCCTAAGGACAGCTGAGCACCAGTGTAGAGGAAGTGATGCAGCTGCAGTTATCTGGAGTGAGAGGTGCTGGGACAAGCTCTAGGATCCAGCTAGGACCCCTCAGGGCTGCCAGGAGCTTTCTCTGCCTTCCCTGAGCAGGACTGCACAGACAGTTGTGCTGGGCTCACAGAGTGGGAGCTGCTCCTGGGAAAGGCAAGGTCACACTGTGGATCAGGCATTGGTCTAGACTCTGCCACAGCAGGTTATCCTGCTTTTCCCTTTTGCACAAACAGAAACAGCCACCAGAGAGAAGGAGCCAAGCAGGTGGCTCACTGCTCCAGAGTGAGAGGTCAGGCGGTCCCCTGGGGACTCGTGTTGGGGCATTGAGTGCACAAGGAGCATTTTAAATAAGTCCTGTTTACAGTGAGAGCCCTGTATCAGCTCCTCACTGAGGAGTCCCCAGTATCGGCCAGCCCTCTGAGGAATGAGCCAAGCAGGTGCTGCCCGGGGGAATCCAAACAGTTCAGGTTTCCCACAGCTCTATTTATGACTTTACAAGAGTCAAGGTCTTAAAAAAGTTTTTCAGCCACATGAGCCCAGGCAGCCCTTTCCCTCTTGCCCTCTGGCCTTGCTCCAGCTTGTGGAGTTCCATGGCTTCACTCCCATGAGGGGGCCAGGACTTCCCACACAACAGCACCACTAACACAAACCTGCTTTTTTCCTCCTGGGAGCAGTGTCTGGGCTGCACTATCCTGAGAGTCCTGAGGGTCAGGACTATCCTCTAGTAGCCTTCTCCTGTGTTTGTGCCAAGTGAGCATTGGGGCTGGCACAGGCCAGGTGGTGAAGAGAGGGCCACCCTTTGCACAAGGCTCTGGAGAAGGTTGGTAAGTTTGCAGCCAACGTAACAAACAATTAACCTCACTCACTTTTGGGCTGTGAAATGGTGAGGGCAGCAGCAAGGGGACAGCAACACAGAGCCCATGATCAGGGTCATCCATCTCCCCCTGAGAGCTCTGGCCCAAATGTCCCTCTGGCCCCATGCTGCTCCCTGATGCTGACCAACATCCCACAGCCACCTCTGCTCCCAGAGAACTCCTGACTCTGCAAACCCTCTGGGACCCCAACCAGCCTCTTCAAGAATGGTTAAACCCCTCCAATAATCACATCCAGATGATGTTACTGGGAGATACCCACAAGCCTCCTGAGATTTGAGGACCTTTTCAGAAATTTCCACATGTGAAAAAATACTGACTTTGCAACTGCAATAATGTTGGTATGAACTGTGCAGTGAGGCACTGGCACAGCTTGCCCAGAGAAGCTGTGGATGCCTCATCCCTGGAAGTGTTCAAGGACAGGCTGGATGGAGCTTGGAGGAACCTGGTCTAATGTAAGGAGTCCCTGGTCATGGCAGAGCATTTGGAACTGGATGAGCTTTAGGGTCTCTTTCAATCCAAACCATTCTGGGATAGAATGAGTCTAGGAACTGAGACAGAGTACTGATTTCTCCCCTCAATATTTCTCAACACCAGACTATGAAAAGCAGCCTGACAAACACACTTTTACTACAAAAACTAGGAGAGCTTAGCAAGGGAGCTATTAATTTGCTGATGAATTGCCTATTTGTGCAAAAGCATTTCAGCAAGTCCCAATTAAGACAGTCTGCTCCCAGAAACTGCCTATCCCACCAAAAGCAGCCACCCAGCTTGCTGGTTACACTGAAATCCTGGGAATTACTCCCTCAACAGCTGCCTGTAAGTGCTGTTTTGTATCCATCTGTGCAGTTAAGTTGAAAATGGAAAGCTGGGAAGGTGCCTGTGGGAACAGCACTGCCATAGGGGGATGCTTGGCTACAGCCATATGCTTCTGTCCTGCTTCTGTCCTGCTCCTGCCCTGCTCAGCTGCAGGGATTGCCTGGGTAGAAGCAGGACCAGGCCTTTACACCCATCTGGGTCGAGGGCATCCATGGACATCCAGAGCTCATAGCATCAACAGAAGAGTCATGAGAGTCAGGGCTGCAATTTCTGTTCACATTCAATTTTGGCACTGCAGAGTTCACACAAGTTGCCTTTCACAAGAGTTAATCCTGGGTTTTGCATCCTGAAGTGATTCATGTTAAGTCCATACTTGATCTGCTCAGAGCAGCCAACCTGCCCTGGGATGGTGGCCAGGAAAGGGGCCAGGTGTGTTTGGGATGATCAGAGAGAACTGCCTCACCCCCTCCCTATACCTACAGAAAGAGGGGTCAGGGGTGCTGGCTCACAGCCTCCTCTGACAAGTCAAGACAGGCAGGGGAGCACCTCATGGTCACACGCTCTGGGAATACATTTCTCATGTGATCAGGAAAATAAATCATAGTAATTGAAACCCAGCACAGTTGGGCTGGGTTACCCATCAACAAACTCCAGACTGCACAGCAAGCAGCTGCTGCTGTCACCTCAGGCTCAGGATCAGCAGCAGGATGCTCTCCACACCCCTTCTCTACATTTCTGTTATCTTTGTGCCCCATTTTTGCTACCTCTTGGCCCCATTTGTGTTGCCAGAAGTGGATCTACCAGCCTGCTGCAATTCATGTTCCCCACAAGCAAGCAGCCCAGGGTGCCAGCAAGCAGAGCATGGCACCCATGCACGTGGCACATGGAAACACTGACATTTCCATTTATTCCAAATGGCACTTCACATCACCGGATTTTTAAAATATTCCCATGGCAAAGAAAGAGAAACAAATATGCAAGGAAGGACAGAAAAAATGGTGGGATGGAAGGGAAGGAAAGGAAGGAAAGGAAGGAAAGGAAGGAAAGGAAGGAAAGGAAGGAAAGGAAGGAAAGGAAGGAAAGGAAGGAAAGGAAGGAAAGGAAGGAAAGGAGTGCCAAGAGAGCACAGCCATGGGTAAGAGCTGGGGGTGCCTGGCACAGGGGAACTTCCCAGCCTGGGTCTGGGCTGAGCAGGGCTCCTGCAGTCTTGGGGCAGCCAGCAGTGACACTGGGCTCCAGGTCATCCACCAGCCTGTGTTCACAGCAATCACCTCCAGAACAGGGCTTATTTATTTATTTTGGCAACAAAAGGCTCTCTTGTACAAATTAGTTTTAATTTTCTTCTCCTGGAAGTGATTTTGTAACTCCAGTCAATGGAGTTCAGTGACATAAGCCAGTGTGGGAACAGCCTCAGACTACTGGTGTGTGCCTAATGCAATTAAAATCTTACTGGTCCTGTGCAGCCACACAATCACATCCTCCTTACCATTCCATCAGTGCCTGCTTGGGAAGAACAACTCCTATTGGGGCATCCATATCCTCCTGCCTCCTGCACTCACAGGGGGGTGGGGAAGAGGCAGGTGAACCATTTTATCCTGGAAAATGGGCAAAGTGTCCCATCACTGTCCCTTTATTTAAGCCCCAAAAAAGGCTATTTACATTAGACTTCCATAGCACAAAACCAAACCCAAATAAGCAGCTTTTCAATATGTCTGAGAGAATTAACAGTTTGCAGTGGGGAACTGCAAAGCAGAACCAGTGCCATGCAGTGGCTCAGAGCACAGAGACCCTCTGCTTCTCCCAGAGCAAGCTGGAATATCCCTTCAGGCAGCAGTCACCATGGATCCGTGTCCTTGGCTACGGCACTGGCTGCTCACTCATTTCACTGAGGAAACAGAATTTCCAGGATCTAAAACATCTCAATCTAGACAGGCTGATTTAGAGGGATTTCACGCCAGTGAAACACTACAAGCCTTTTGAACTCTTTCCTCATGTTCAGCTCTGCAGAGCCCAGACCCTGAGATTTATAGTTGTTTTCCTGAAATGGGGTCAGTGACAGAAGATTTGCACAAAGAAGCATCCAGCAAAACTTGAACCACTCTCCTTCACCTTCCTGTGCAGAACAAAAAACAGGCCTGTGCTCTGTGCAGAGGGCTTGGGGGACTTTGCAATAGGGATTCAAATCACAAATGGCACTCAAATTATGACTGTCACTACAAGAGAGTTTCCATTTGCCAAGGGGAAAGGGAAAATCAGCATTCCCAGGGACACATAAAGCTATTAGTCAGACTGCATCACTGGAAACCATTTGTTTATTTAAATGGAAGCTGTTGCAATAATTAACACCTTCATGAAAACATGCAGAGGCTGTCACAGCCATGCAGGCAGAGGCATTTGGGGATGTTGTGTATTGCTTGCAGACTATAATAATTTTTATTTTTCCTTTTTCCTCAGACTCCATGTAGGCTCCTGGGAGGAGCCCCTGCCATTAAATGCAGCTCAGTACCTCTGACCTTCTCCAGCTTGGCCAGGGAGCTCCTGGGACACCACAGGCTGTGAATTCCTAATCACTGCTGTAATTAAAACCAGAGAGGTGATGCCAAGTCAGCCTCTGCAGCTCCACAAGTTTTCCCTGTGTGGGCACAGAGAATGAGAAGCTGGATAAGCCTTCAGTCCTCATCCTGAAGCCAGTGTGGGTTGGAGCTGGGCTCAGGTGAGGAAGGGGGACACCGACCACTGTGCAGCAGGAGGCTGGGCTCACATTTCTCTAGATTTTATGGAACAAGGGATCTAATGAGATCTCCTACTCCTGCCTCAGCCACAAACAAAATACGCAGTTTGATCCAAACCTGCAGATTTCTTCTCATTTGTTTTACTTAAACATGGAAATTATTACTTAAACATGGAAATTTACTTAAAAATTGGAAAACTCATAGCACTTGGCCACCTTTCTATTTTCAACTAGAGATCAGGTTAATTTATTCTGTTTTGATGATTTTACACTAGAGTGTTTATGGAAATGATAA